CATGCTTGCTCTGGTTGTTCAGTTATAGCTGATACTCTCAGGTTTCCAAGGTGCTGTGTATCCTTGTACATGTATTTTCTAACAACATGTGCATTAGACAGAAGACCATGATTTCACAGCTCACAGGCATACATGTCTAAAATAATATAGTAGGTTGTGAACTGTGAAGAGGTGTGTAACGATGTCAGCATATGGTCATGAATCAGTCATCTGAGGATTTTCTTAGTAGTCTCCTTTAATTAATTAATTTGTTCCTATTTCTTGCACTTGGATAGATGCCTGCTTTCTCTTGTGTATGTATAAGGGCCGGTGCATAGGGCCATAATGACTGTGCCAGGCACGGTGTATCAATGGGTTTTCTCAAAACTGGGAGTTGACCATGTCAGCTGATGACATTGCTTACTTTTCTAGTAGGGGCATATTTCTTGATGTGGGTACTCTCATTAAGGTATCAGTTTTGTAATGGACATTTATTTCATTCATAAAGTAATTATTTTAGCAGAGAGAGCGTGTGGATTTGACTAGACCCAGACTATTTTCTCAGCCTAAATAACAGAAACTGTTACTTCTGCTATAGTAGCACAATAGAAGGCATAGAGAGAAAACTGCTGGTAGTTGAGGCACTGATTTGGCAAAGCAGTGTTTCCAATCTTAGTCTCACAGCCTTGGTGATTCCTCTAACCAATCAACTATGCAATCTTCTGAGGTAGGAATTTGCCTTTTGTCAGAAAAGAAAGTCTTGGCTCTGACTGAGTTTAGAACAAGAATACATTGCAGAATCATAAACTTTCTTAGCAGGTTTAGCATTCTTCTGTCAGGTTAGCATTATTACTGGCTGTAACCTCAAGCAGAGAGTAGTGGAATTGAGCTGCTCTCAATTTGCTTTTCTCAGCTTACAGCAAAGCAGTTGCATAGACAATGCAACTGTGAGGTTGTCTGTCAACTTGTTCTTGAAAAGCCATGTCTCCAGGTAAACAATGAGCAAGTATTTTTGCATTATGTCATATCCTCTGTCTACTAAAAAATGTATGTGCCTTGTATCTACATTCTCTTCCAAGAGATTTGAAAACATTAGAATAACCTTTTAACGATTTTCTTATCAAAACTACGATATTCATCAAATAGAAAGGTACCTTAGAAGCACCTTTCTCTTTTGCTTCTATTAAAGTTTACACAGGATTTGTGCTTTCCACATCTTTTTGTGTGTGTCAGGAGCGCTCCCCTGAATTTTCATGAGTTCGTATACATTGATATTGTGATTAAGAATTCTGGTCAAGGTGATCTCTTCCTATTTCCTTCTGAATGTCAGGAGAGAGCAAGAGGACTGCAGTTATAAAACTTGATTATTGTCTCTCTCACTCAAGGGAAGAGTATAATGAGCCTGACTTAGGATTACATGAGGATTGCACATTTAGCAGGCCTAATCAAGAGCACAGAGTATACATCAGAGTGTGAAGTTCTATGGAAATACTTGGGTCCAACATCATCACTTAAAACAACTCTGCTAAGTCTGTGTTGGAAGCTCAGAGTAGCACTCAGAAAATACAGTTCAGAATTTTGTAGGTTCTCCCGATCCATTCTGATCAAGAGGCACTATATCCCCTCTCCAATTCAATAATGGTGCCTTCAGTTACCCACAAAAAAGAGATGGGTGAAGAATTTACTTCATTAAAATGCAGTGAAATGCAGTTACTCTCAAGGCTGATAATTACAGTTGTAAATAGAATTTTATTTTGAAGCATGCCAGTTGATTTTTTGTCCATTCAGATGGGAATTTTTGTGCTTGACAGCGGAAGGAGGAGAAGGAAGCAAATACGTATTGAACATGAAAATGGAAGAGTCTGAAACGGAGAGGCAGATACCCATGACAGCTTTTGACTAAGGCAGATAAGCTGTGTTGCAACTTATCTACAGTGTTAGCAAATGATGACTTCCTCATCACTTTCTTGCTTTTATTTTCTTCTTGAAAAATTGTCAGCTGATTTTATACAAATGCTCTATCACTACCATTTGAGTACAAGGCAGAGTGAGCCATTACCTTATCTTTGTATGTGGCAAATGTGGATTGTTTTGAGTGCATGAAGCTGAAAAGGTCTCTATCTTTCAAGGACTCACATCTGCCTTACATTGATCCATCCTTCAAAGCTTGTCTCCTGTGTCTGATACCCTGGTACCCATATGTTTGACAAGGTTGAATTTTCTGATGACACTTTCTGTTCTCATTTGAAAATTTATTCTTTAGCTCCACCTCCTGGCTCTTGGTCCATGAAAAGGAGTATTCTCAGGAATCACAGAGCCTCAAGAAGGGATCAGAAGTATTCATCCTAGCTTACGAACATTAGTGTAGGGATGTATATGGGGACATTTTAGCTGAAAAAACAGAATTTGTGGAGCCCACTCATGCTGGCTTTCAGCAGAGGCGAATGTTCTGGTGGTGAGGTGGACAACAGAATATGTGGCTCATAGTTTCTGCTTTTTGTTGGGCTTTTGGTTTCTCAACTGTGGCAGTTTTGATACATGACAGACATCACAGCACAGTCTTTCTTTATGACTGTTTTTCTGGTACTTCCTCAATCTTGTGGGGGTGGGGAGCTACAGGAGAAATCGTCTGACACTGAAACATTAAAAAAAGATCTCTGAGACCTTGCAAAGGAGTCTTGTTTCACACAGGGAGAATTTGACTTTGTTCATCCTATTCAACCAGGGGCTGCCCAAGAAGCAGAGGAGTAGAGCTTAGCCATCTGGATTCAAGAAGCTGAACCCATGTCTCTTCCCCGACAGCTGCGTGAAAAGAGGTAGCGTGTCTCTCCCTCCTCCTGCTCCCCCGCAAGCCTCACGTAACTGGTGTGATCTGTTTGTTTAATTTGGATGTAAGCATCTTTGGTGATTCTTCTTGTTATCCTAGTTTCCACACTATTAGGCTGCTCAGTGTGGAGCAGTCCATTTCTTAGGTTGGAGTGGACTTTCTTCTTTTTGTGAGGAATAGTCAGCACCTAGGCCATAATGGGTAATTGTCCTCTTTATAACTACAAACAGTTTCCCTTTTACTGGGGTTTGTGATATGACTAATTATATCTCTATAACCACATCCCTCTTCACAGTAAGAGATAGTATTTACTGTGTTGTGGGTGGTGCTGATTCATGGCATTCTCCTCGAACAGCAAACTATTGAAGACCTTGCATCATTACTTCATCCTTTCAAATGGGCTACGCCTTGTGGAAACACCTGCTTGGGATGTTCTCCTGGCAGGATAAACCGAGAGAACTGACAGCTTTTTTTTGTATTATCAGAATATTTAACATTATGTCAGCTTGGAATTTCTTAGATGATCTTTTTAAAAGTTTCTCTCTACCTCATTTGTTACCCTTTTTTCCTCATTCTTGATGCTTTTTACTTAGGTGTTAATATAAATACCCCTCTAACAACACTGAATTATAAGACTGAAACAAAGGTGAATTTGTCTTCTGCTTGTCAAAGCTGTTGTACCAGGGAGAACGTCACAGACGAAAAAGCACCTGCCAATCCGTGCTGTTATGTTGTGTGGACATTATAGACAAGTAATATGACTTTGTAGCAATATGGCTGCAGCGGCCAAAAAAACTCACACTCGGTCAGTTGACAGGCAGCGAGCACTTTACTTACAGAAGGCTTAGTTTTATGGTCTTTTTCTTCTGTCCACCCGCAAATATACCATATCTCATTGGTTAAGTGTTCTTGTTCACGTGCCTAAGCTCCTTTTCTAATAGGTGGTCAACATTCCTTCATGTCTGGCAACTCTTAAAACAACACCTGTTATTTACTACAGTTCTTCTTCCTTTTCTGTTTTTTCATCTTCAGTGTTTACATTCCTTTACAATCTCATAGCTGTAACTGCTCAAATTCAAGGCCTAAGCTGTCTACAGCTCAGTTGTTTCCCTCATATGGCTTCTCTTTAGGTGTTCCTGCAAGGATCCTTCCTTCTCTTTTGCTTCAAATCCAATACTTTCTAAGATCTGCAAAGCTTTTTCTAACCCTGCCTACTATCATATGTTCCTTCACACATTTTTTGACATTTTCAAACAAGTGTCTTTGCTCTTACTTCAGGTTGTCTGCTGTGAAGGTTAATGCCAAGATCATGGGTTCGATCCCCATACATCACTTAAGAGCTGGATTCAATGACCCTTATGGGTCCCTTCCAACTCAGACTATTCTGTGATTCTGTGATGAATCTTATCTGTTGTGGCTGGGAGATCTCTCTGTAAATATTTGCTAGCCTACTCATTCTTTTTTAAAGCCTCTTTAAGAGTTTGCTTTATTGTGATGTTTACAAGAAAATGTAACAACATTTTGACAGCTGGTGCAGGCACCACTAGTTATGATATAGAATAATACTATGTTTGTCTTTCTTTGCTCTTTTTCTGTTTGTGCTTATCCTTTGTTTCTTATCTCATATGTGCAAGGTATATTGTATGCATCTTGCACATAGAGTGTAAGGTTTTTAGGAATCAGCTTTGTGCTGTCAGTTTCTACAGCACCTAGCACAACAAGCTCTTTTCTCAGAACTGTTTCCTACTCTCTACAGTAAAGCAGTAATAATAACAGCATAAATCATGATATATAATGATCTCCTTAGAATAAGATATACTGCTGCAGAGTTATTATTATAAGTCTTCTAAATGCTGTAGGAAGGATTAAGAATCCATCCACAGCTGATCACATTTCACAGGAAAAGCTTAGCAGCTCAAACATTTTTTTTGTAGTTCTGCTCCTCTAGAAAGCCTAGGAATGATAAGGGTGGTTTTCAGGCATGTTGAATCCTCACAATGGTCACTGACTTTGCTGAACTTACAGAAACTTGAAATCTTGAGATCAGACCTCCAGAGGAAGAGAAAGACACCACAAGTTTCTAGCTTCTTGATTTTGACAGTAGATAATGTGATATTGCCTTTGTTCTGTACGGCACAGAGACCTCGAAGGCTACCAGTATGAGTAACCTAAATCTTTTGTTCTTGCTTCACAGTGATTTTGACCAGCTTCCAGATGATGTACCTGTTTCAGCTAACATTGCAGATATTGAGGAGAAGAAAGGCTTTACAAACTACTATGTAAGAAGAGAGATTCATTCTATCTCTATATGCCTTCATCTGTGACTGGTTTGGTCGTGGGAAGCAAAATACAGTTAATCTGGTGTAATTGCTTTTTGGCATGAATAGTTCCATGTGGAAAACTTCTCAGTGCTTGTTTTTTCTATAATGGAGGATAGTCTATCATAGATTTAGTCTAAAAATTTATTTTCTGAGTGAAATGTGACAGAGGTATCCTCTAACATCACTTGTTTTCTAAATTCTACCTAATCTCCAATTTTTTTCCTGTTGGAGTGCTGTACCTTTGCTGAAGAGAGTGGTAAAGGAGTTCAAGAAGGGTAGAAGGGCAGAGTCGTCATTCCTTAGTACTGGCAAGTTAGGATGCTCCCATCTCGACAGAAGATAGCATATTAATAAAAAATGAAAGAGCACACAAGAAGGGAATAGTAGGGAAATGCACTAAGATTCTGAAGGTTTTGAATATGACCAGCTCAGTCTGACTTCTGCTGGAGACTTTACTCATAAACCCTTCCCACTGCAGTATGCAGGTTTTAGTCTGGAATGTAGTGATGTTTGATTGCTCTGTCTTTATGTTTTCTGAAGGATCTGGCTGCAATGTGACTCAAAGGTCAGTGCATGGAAATCATGGGTTTCTTTAGAGCAAAGCAATTTTGTCAAGAGATAAGAAATAAAATACTGGTTGGAGGCAGTCAGACCATAATTTCTGAAATTGTGTACCTTAAAGTCAAAAAGAAGTATGAATGCTTTCAACTCTGAAAATCAATTTATTTAGATGCCTGTCTATAGACTTAGATGTCCAAAGCATCTCACTGTAAAATATTTGTATTTACCTCCCTAATGTGTTTTGTTTGTCACTGAGGGAAGGTGTGTAAGCGTAAAGTAGAATCTAGTAATTCCATGTTTCCTTTTAAGATTATGTAACATAAAGTAAAGCAGCCGCAGGGACATGCATCATGGGAAATCTGGTCCCACAAATATGCCACACTGGCGCTAACTTGTTATTTTCTAGTTCTTGAGTCTGCAGATGCTTAACTGAAGTCTTGCTTTCCACTCTGCCCCTAAGAGAATATTCCCTCTAATGGAACACTGATCTTATGATCCTATTGTATGCCTTACTTTCATTTGGTAAGTATTTATGAGTATGAATATCAGCCTGAATCCCTCTTCTCTGTTTCAGATGTTTGTCATTGAAGTAAAGCTTAAAGGTGGTGGCAGATACCTGATTTTCCGGCGCTATCGTGAGTTCTATGCCCTGCACACCAAACTAGAGGAGAGATATGGGCCAGAGGGTGATAACAGCCCATTCACCTGCACACTCCCTGTATTGCCAGGTAAGCTGTCAGTACCAAGTCTTTCCATGATTAGCAGCTTTATCTGCCCCAGGCTGTCCCAAAGTTCGTTGAGGGAACTAGTTGTGACAAGGAACTAGTTCCCAGCTGTAGAAGAAGAAGAACTGCCAGAGAAGTCAAGCTCCATTGGCAGTACCTTCACTTGTGGTAAAGTTCATTTAGAAACATAAAATGCTTTAGAAAATATGTATTTTCTTAGAAATCCTATTTTCTCGGAGATCCTATTTTCTCCTGATTGCTTCATTTCTCTGACAGCCTCCTTTTTTTTTCTTCAGTAACTGTCACAGGTTTTATATTTTCCAGGAAAAGTTTTTGTTGGTGCCAAAAGGGAAATTGCTGAGAACAGGATTCCTATCCTAAATGTCTACATGAAGGTAAAACTTAATTTTAAGGTGGAGAATGCGCTGAGCACTGCAGATATTTACCCCTTGAAATCAGCTAAGAGGGACAGTACTGTTACAGTCCTAGGTATCTGCTTCTCTCTGTATTGATTTTTCTGAATACACAGTGCCCACACTGTGGTACAACCTGCAGTCCTCTTCCCCAGATTGTTCAGACTGTAGGATGTGCTGGAGTACACTGTATGCAAAGGCTCACTCACTCCCTTCGTATACAGATAGATATCCTTACAAAAAAAAAACCCCAACCCGAGATATACGAGGAAATGGTGAATCTCCAGGTGTTGCATGAATACAGAATTGATGTGTGCATCTAAGAGACTGGGAGAATGGTGTGTGGGTTGTGTTTTAACCTTGCCCACCAAGTTCGGTTCAGCCACTTGCTCACTTCTGCAACGGAATAGGGAGAAGAATCAGAAAAAGGTAAAACCCATGGGTTGAGATAAGAAAAGTTTAATAATTGAAATAAAGTAAAATATAATACTAATAATTGTAATTAAAAGGGATATAATGAAAAGGACAGAGAGAAATAAAACTAAAGAAAAAACCCAAACAGGTGATGCACAATACAATTGCTCACCACCCGCTGACTGATACCCAGCCAGTCCTCTGAGCAGTGACCAGTGGCTCTGAGCCAACTACCCACAGTTTATATACTGGGCATTCTATGGCATGGAATACCCTTTGGCCAGTTCGGATCAGCTGTCCTGTCCATGATCCCTCCTGGCTTCTTGTGCAGCTCCTCACTAGCAGAGCACGGAAACTGAAAAGTCCTTGGTTTAGTAAGCCACTAGTTAGAAGCAACTAAAAGAGCAGCATGTTACCAACATCATTCTCATGCTAAATCCAACACGCAGCACTGTACCAACTACTAAGAAGAAAACTGGCTCTGTCGCAGCCGGAATCAGGACAGATGGGCTTCTGGTTATACCTGCTCTACAGTGAAGATACATCCAGTAAACATCAAGGAAAGAAATTCTTTGTGTGCAGGTGAACTGAAGGCCTGACTTTAAATCACTAAAAGCTTCAAACACTGGCCAAGGCTTCCATGACTTAAGATAGCCTTTTTCCCACAGTCATTCATGTTCTGAAGGGAAACACAAAAAGCAATTTATTCCTGCAGTAAATCAGGTACAAAAAGAGTGAAGCAATACATTGGCCAACTCCAGGAGTAAGGAAGAGAAACTGTCAGCTGTTCAGCTGTGTCCTGCTGAGTGAGAAGGGAGAGGAGAGAGATTTCTGGCAGTAATGAATATCCTTCATGATCCTGTAGGTCAGAGAGGCATATTTGTTGCATGTAAATAAATAGAGAATTGGTCTCTCCCACTGCTACACTCTGCTTCCTCCTTGCTCTTGGCATAGAACCTACTCTGCCTCCCTGCTTGGGTGTTGATGGATGAAGACGTACGGCTGTTCTTCTACCACTCAACCTTCGATAGCGAGCAGGTGCCTCACAGGCTGAGACGGCTTCGCCCACGGACACGCCGAGTGTAAGTGATTGACATGTTTTTTCAGCATTTCTTGATGTAAAATATGCTGTCCAGTTTTGGGGGGGGGGAGAGAGAGATGAGGGTCACCACTGTGTTTCCCATGTGAATTCATGAATTCCCAATATGAGGATCTTTGTGGTGGAGTGAACACAGAGTTTTTCTTCTTTTCAGTAATCTCAGATTTTTAAAGGGGATGTGATACTTGCATTAAAGGAAAATTCCAAAAGGAGAGTATAGATTGCTTTTAAAAAATACTCTCCAGCTCTATCTGCCTGTATTTCTTTAATGGTAATCTGTATTATAATGTGCAGAATATACAGGCCAAACTTAATGACTTAGGCTTGCACCACTGAAGTCAATGTGAGTTTTGGCAATGAATTCAGTGAGATCTGGTTCAGACACTAAATGAAACTAAATATTTAATTTGTTTCTGTCCTTTGTCTAAACAGAGGCCTGTCCTACATAGCAGCATTGACACCCCTTTGGAGAACTGTTAAGTAGATGCCATACTTCATTACCCTTCAGACAAATTAATTCTCCTTGCAGTATAGCAAAGATGGACCCGCTTCCTTTTCACTTACCTCAAACACTGCAGAAATTGCATGTGTGTATGATGACAGGGTTTGAACTAAATGCCATAAATGCTAGAAACAGAGATGCCCAGAAGGCAGAGTAGGGGGGCTGAGCAGTGCTGTGGAAGTCCAGGATACTGACTGTATTGAAAATTCCATCTGTTCTCAACAGCAGACACCATCAGATTGCTGCTACTCTGAACTGAAACTGAGGGAACTAGGGCAATGTTGTTGCATCCATATTTTTTACTTCAGTGCTGCACAGAGATTCATTCTCATGCAGTTTCTCCAGTGGTGTATGGCTTGCCTGCCTCTTAAATAGTAAAAATGCAGACACTGTACTACTGATTGTGTAGCATTTTTTATGACTAGAAAGGCATATTTATCTCCCTGCTGTCCCCTTTCTTTGCAGTAAAAGCATTTCACATCAAGTGCCTATTTTTGACCGCACAGCAGCTCCGCGGGCTGAGGTGAGTACTCTGCACAACCTGTCATAGGATAGGAGATTAAACTCTGTTTTACTTAGGTGCCTCATTCATCAAGTTGCCTTTTCCAATTAGAACCTGGGGGAAGAGAGTGAAATCAACAGAGAAAAACAATTGATTTTAACAACAGGGAGTGAAACAAAGGATGGAAAGAAGTGTTTTGTTCCTCATCACTTGGGTAGTAAGAAGGCCCATTGTGAAGCAAGAACGACAGGACATTCAAAAATGAGACATGTACAGCTTGCTGCCAAATGGTACATATTTGCATAGTGATAACCATAAATTAAATTTATAACAGGCACAAGCTTCAGCTTCATTGACTTCAGCATATGTTTAAAAGCTTTGCAGGTGGAGCATCTCAGTATTTTTTGTAACACGAGTGTTCTACTGAAAAGTGCCTATACCCTTGTCTTTTGTAGTATGCTGTCTCAGTATTAAGCACATGGGACTACTTTGTAACCAGTACTTGTCTGAGCATCGTCTTGCTTCCTGGAACTTTGCTATATAAGATTAAAAAAAGCCATTAAATGCTTAGAGGTTTGTTGTTTTTGGTTTTCACACTGACAATGACAGGTCTTGGAACAGTCATACCTCTTGGGTTTTATCTATGAATTTATTAATATCAATTATACCTACCAAAACTTTTCAAAGCTTTTGAAAGAGCTATTAAATAGACATGTGAACTACGAGAACAACAGTAGCCATTGTCTTTTATTTTTTATTGTTGGGATAACTTTGGCATTACCAAGACCTAAAGAACTATCTCAACACAGAATAGAGAACACCTTTTCATTTTTGCTCCTCTAAGAGTATTTAAATTGCTATCGTGTTCTCTAAGGACAATGGGGGAGATGTGCATTTTTGTAACTCAGCAACATTAATTATCCAAGAACAGTTTGTTAGGATGGTAGCATGTACTTACTTCTTTTTTTTTTTTTCCCCTGAAGAGGACATCTAAGTTCCATTTTAACTACATGTCAGTTTCCCAGGCTTCCCCAAATCTCTCAGTTCAGCATACAGACCTGAAAGCTAGATGTAAGAGCAACAGTTACTTACCCTTAAATTGGGACACAACAGTTCTGCAATTTTTTAAGGCTTTTTATGATATTTTGCAGCAAATCTAAAAGTTGTAAAGCTGCAACCAGAAGTAGTGTATCTCTTCAATTCTCAGGATTTCAAGATGTCAGTTGTCTTCAGCTCTGTTGTCTTATTTGCTCTTAAGTGTTTTCAGCTTATGTATATTTATTTCTCTGGTGCTCAAGGTTCTGCCACTTTAAGAATCTTAGCACGCAGTTCTCTCAGGGCCATGTTTATCCTAGTGCTTTCACTATTTCTTCAAAGCATTTTTGTGTGTGCTGAGTAGGAGAAGAAATTGTGAGAACTGCAGACTATGGTCAAATATACGTGACCTTATCCCAGAAATAGGTCTGTGATGACAAAATGCACACTATCTTGCTGCTTTACACTTTCACCTCAAGTACAGAACAGAAAGATTTACTTTTGTAATTCTGTGAATTAATAATTTCAACGTTATTACTTTCCATAGGCACTGTTTGATTTTCCTGGAACCAATAAACTGGAACTCAGCTTCAAGAAGGGAGACTTGATCTACCTACTCAGCAGAGTAAACAAAGACTGGTTGGAGGTAAGACTGCAAGAGCAATACTGAATTATTAGCATACCTTGACATATATGAGTAGAAAGGGTTCTCCTAATCTTTGTGACCTGTCTCCTCCTTTCAAGGAGAAACTCTACCATAATCAGGTCTTACTGTCAAGAATAAATCCTTGATTCCAAATTTGTAGTTGCTTTGTTCCTTGATGGTTTTTAGCTTACAAATTTTCTGCCCTCCAGACTTCAGTTTTCATTTGCATTTTTTTCTGCTGGAATGTTCTTAAATTCTTTGGAAGTGATTAGAACACAGAAAGGCCACAGAAAGGAGATGGAAACTCCATTTCAGTGATTAATTGGTTTCTTGCCTCAGGGAGAGTTGCTGTATGCTTCATGCTTCATACCACAACACACGTCAGCCTGATTAGAGAGAACTTGGGTAATGCAGCAGTGTTCTGAAAGAGGATGAGGAGAACATACTGCGTGTTTGCTGATATGATATCTCTGCTTGCTCAAACACCACAGCCTTCCTTGCTAACCATCTGACTTTCATTTTTTACACACTGTTTCACTCTTCTGCCTGGTATTTGACTATGCAATTGTATAATCTTTTTGTAGGGATGCCATCAGGTCACTTCCATAGCCTTTCTTTTCTGGATTATAGTAGAAAAATTCTTATTGTTGTTTCTGTGGAAATTAATTGAATTCCAGAACTTATGCATGTGGCCAAAATGGCATGGTTTTCTTGATTCTAATATTTCCTATAATTCCAGGGAACTGCTAATGATGCCACTGGGATTTTCCCATGTGCTTTTGTGAAGATCATAAAAGATTTACCACAGCAGGAAGACACAGTCAATAAAGTCCGCTGTTATTACCACAGTGAGACTGTGAGCACTATCAGGTAATAAGAAAATAGTACTCCAGATTATTGCTGAAGAAACACCAATAACTCTCTTTTCATGATATGTAATGAATAGATTTGTTCTGATTACAGGGATATCTCAGTGGAAGAGGATCTGAGCAGCATTCCATCATTCAAAGATCTCATGGAATTGATGAGGTACAATGCAAGCAGTTAGCTGTATATTTAATATTTAAACATTTGTCAAGTTTATGCCAGTCCTAGATTTTTCACGTTCTACTTGGTCATCACCAGGTTTTGGGTGTGAAATACTTTTCAAATGTCTTGCAGAAATTGTACTTTGACTTGGCCCAGGGCCATCTGTGCAGACACTAGTCTTCCTTGGGATTGTCAATAAGTATGGAATGACCCACACTTCTGATTCAATTATGCTGTGTAGAAGTTTCCGTTTTTGTTCTAAGATCAGAGCAATGACCCCTTGAAAACATCTTTTGTCTAATACACTTCAGGATGCAGGACTCCACCTTCTAACACCTGCTAAACTAGTGTTAACTAACTTTATCTAGTGTTGAATATCAACACTTTAGAACATCAAATATTAGTAATAGAACACCTATGCTAATACTCTTACACTCCTCAGAAAAAAAGCAACTATAAGTAGGCAAAAGTGGGTAGTAACTACAGTCAGCATTTTTTGTATGGGAATTTTATCAAACATACAGATTAATTGTGCCATTTGTGTGGTGTTACTGGAAATGGTTCTTGGTTCTGATAGATTTCTTAGCTTAAACACAGCACAGCATGAATGTGGCTGTATAATTTCCAGTACTAGCTGTATCAAGAGTGCCAACACATGCAAGGCTTTGTGTGGCTTTTAGCAGAGTTAATTAGATTGTCAGTATATTGTTCATCATGTAGCACCTCCCGGGCATTCCTTGATTTCTGGGGATCAATCCATTCCTTTTCTACCAGGCGGGAGTTTGACCAAGATGACATTGCTTTGAATTATCGGGACCTTGATGGGGATCTGATCCGGTTGCTCTCCGATGAGGATGTTGAACTCATGGTATCTCAGAGCAGAAGAAGGCCCTCTGAGAAGCACTTTTTCCCTTGGAAGTTGCACATCACTCACAAAGATGACTTGGGTGTCTACAACACTAGTCCAGGAATAGATGCTACTCAAATAGTAGGATCAATGTAAGTGCTATATAGATATATTCCAGTAGGTAGCTATACAGTCCTTTAATAATCCCTCTCTTCAGGCAGTTTCCTTTAATATGGCTTCAAAGTGACCTTGAAAAGAGTAATTTTTAGTAATATGTTACCTTTCAATATAAAATCTGTACTTATCTTCTACAGTTTTCTAGCACTCCTCTGCAATAGAGACATCTACGTAGAGACCAGAGAAGGTGAGGAATAGAGAAATAAAATCACTGGCCATATTCATAAAGCAAGTCAGTGTTAGCCTGCAATAGAGATGTCCAGAGTCCCAAGACCTGCTCTAATCTCTATACTCACTCCCAGAGCTAATTATTTGTCCAGAATGTCTTCACAAACTTTTCTTTTTTTCTAGATTGCCATAATTTTCTCTTCATTTGCTGATATGAACATTTGTGTGCCAGTGCATAATTATTTCTGTCATGTTGGAGTCTGACCAGGCATTCAGAGTTTGTTCTAGAAGGATCAAGAAAACTTTTCTGTACTTCAGTGAAGAAATTGCAGCCCATCTTAGCTTTTTTCTTTCCACTGCCCAATATCTTGAATTTTGTGAATCAAACTTAGTACACCTGTGGTGTTCCTCATAGACCTTTCTGTAATTTACTTATTTCTGCATTCTGGGAAAACATGCATGATGCCTATTTGAACAGGAGTTTATTCTCTGTCTATCTTCTGCTTTCGGACACTTCATTTCAAAGGACAACTAACAAGAAATTACTGTATCAGATTCTTCAACAAATAAAGTTAAATATGAGTTTATCAACTTTTATTTAAAAGTGGGTTTTTTTTTGGGGGGGGAGATTTGGTTGACATTATTTTACTGAACTATTACAAAATGTAACTTTCTGCTTCAAAGACATTACAGTTTAGAAAGGAGATGAAGCAATATGCAGTGATAATGTCAGTGATCTTAGCTGTTGTAATACATAAGAAAATACATTGTAAGTTTGAAACCTAATGGCATGCATGGTCTGCAAAGCTTCTGTGTGTAGGATTACTTGTTACCTGTTCCTGGAGTTTAACAGAGCAAGTGACATCTGAAGATTTTCACTGACAGCTAGATCCTGTGACGTAAACAGCAATGCAGCATGTATGTCTGAAAATGGAGGAACATTTTCAGAGAGGAAAAGGAGGGAGGGAAAATGTCTTCTGGGAAATAGGAAACCTCTTTTCTAAGGGTGGGGGAAGAACATAAACATACTGGCCTCTGAAAATCAGAGAAGGATAATTCCTCTCTGCTTTATACTGCCATACAAAGTAAATTCTGCCCATCCAGCAAAGTCACATATTCCCCTTCTGACACAGTTTCCTCAAATGCTCTCATGTTCTTCATCTTGCTCTGCATGTTTCTCTTATTTACATTATACATTTTTTTTCCTTGTTTATTGCTGCAGTTCTGGTGAGAGTGTAACTGAGCTGACTGTGGTTTTGGTCAGTACTCTAGGAATTTAGAGGAGGTGTAGTATATATCAGTGCAAGATAGACTCTGGCAGTTAAATTCTGTATCTGGGGGCTCAGTCTTCCATAGTTTACCCTCCAGAGCAAAAATGTGAGTGTATGTTTTCCTTATGGCTACCTAACTTTCCTAGAGATCTTATTATTGAAGGCTACTGGCCTAAATTTTAAAGTTGGATTAAAAGAGTGTGGCTGCCTTGGTTGTAGGATAACTTCAGATCAACTCTTCTCATCAATTTTCTTTTGTTTCTTCTATGTACTCTAGCACTTATTAATTGTTGTTGAAATAGGTAAAACTTACTTTCAGAAATATTGCTCAAATTAAAGGGTTACGGAAATAAAGGTAGTTCACTAGTCCCCCATATAGATGTCCAGTGTGATCCCTGCCATGAAGATTGTCTAGTCTAGATTAAAGCAAGAAACAGCACTGGAGTGAAAACCAGGAATTCTTTCTTTGTCTTTCTTCTGCTGCGGTCAATCCTTTCTTTTTCTTAAAATGCGTTAGTCCCATGATGTGATAATTGCTAACACGCAGATTGACAAACTTCCTTTCCCTCCCTTCCCTTAGTGCCATTTAAGTGCATGCTTTGGGGGCTAAAATAGGAACTACAGACTTCCTATTTCACAAGAAATTGCATAGACTTCCCTTGAAGGGGTGGGGTCTGCTTCTCTGAAAGTGGCATTTCTGATGCACAGAAGATGCAGCATTTATTTTGAAGACTTACTTGCCAAGAAAAGCCTGTGCTTGGTTGATACCTTCTGTCTCCAGTTCTAGGCAAGTGTGGGTTTGCTGGTTTCTGCATCAGAGGATTCTGGTGCTGTGGGGGCAGGTTGGACAGGGAGATTCACCCATCAGGTTAGATAATCTGCCTCACAGACATCTCCGGGTCCAGGTAAGGGAATGGCTTCCTTTCTGGGGGGAAAAAATGGCAGAGTCTGCCCTCATACAAAGGCTTGTGAGTGACTAAGGGATTCCTTAGCTGTAATGACTATTCAATATCATTGGCTCAGTCAGCTGTTTCTGGCATAAGGAATTGATGTTCAAGAGTCTGAAAGTCAATAGGAATTTAAAAGGAGTTTTTCCATGCTCCCCTAAAGCAGAAAAAAGTCTCAGATCTGTAATGTACTTAAGTAGGTGAGTGTATTATGCTTTTGAGAGAGCAATGAGAAATGGCCAAAAGAACTTGAATTCCAGTATGAACGGTGTGGTCTGTGGTCTTGGAACTGCTCAATCTACTCTCACTCTCTACAATCACCAGAGAAAAATAGTTTCTTTGGTATTATGTCTACAATTTGCAACTTGTTTGGGGAGCAGCTAGAAAAGTAGCATGTTGATGAAAAATCTGAAAGTGAATGAATATGGAAATTCAACCACTATAGCTCCCAGGAATTATGTGTTTGGAGATCATATTTTTGAGGAAAGGTAAAAAACAGAACACTGTTGTGGTTCATTAGGAAGGCTTTGAGTATAAAGAGGAGAAGGATAAATAAATTTGAAGGCTGAGTTCTCTTCACAGATTAGGAATGTTTCTTGTTGCTACTCAGCTGACAGAATTCCTTCATTTCCTCGGAAATGTGCATTTGCTTCATTCTTTGCTTGTATTGCAAGCTCACACAACAAGAAGACATGAGTTTTGTCCTACAATAAGTGCTTGGTAGAAGTTCTTTCTGAATGCTACTCCAACACAAATATAAAAGAAGTTCCCTCATTCAGTTTTACTTCTCTTTATGTGAAACGAAAAGAAGCAGCTCTACAGTAAGCAGAAGACTATGATCTTCTGAACTAGGATCAAGCCTGCGGGCAAAGGACAGTATGAACATGAAAGAGATTTTCATCCTGCTGCTGCACCTGTATTTGGTCTCCAGTGTTCAAGCCATTCGAGGTGAGATTCAAATTCATATTCTCTTTTATCCCTCCTTCCTTCATTGCCTTTCTTTTTGTATCTGTTTGCTTCTTTCAACTAATGCTCTTCCTCATTTTCTGCTTGCTTTTCTTCTTCCTTCTATACTGTCTTCTATACTACAGGAGAACAGACATCTTGATTAAAACCAGTGTGTAGCAGGTGCATGTGCAGACAAATCAGTTGTATGTTGGTGGTAAGGACAGGCGAAATACTGGATAAATGGATGAGATAAATAAGCTGCCTGGATAATGAGTGAATGGAAAGGAGGACTAGACCCTGATAATTAGTGAAAACAGGAAAATGAAGGGCTGCATAATTCCAATGGAACTGTACAGGAGTGTAGTCATGTGGACAGACACAAGACAGGGTGGGGGGCTACCAAGAGCAACATCCAGATGACCTGATTTTCTTCCTGTGGAATTGCTGACAGATAAAGAGACCATCTGCCATATCCATTGCTTGTGTTTCTGAATTTAATATCTTCCCTTTCTCATGCAATGAGAGCTACTCTTTACCCCTAAAAAGCCCCTTAAACAAGCTGATAGTAGCTCTCATCATGAAAAACTACTAGAGGGAGCACACTCATGTATGCACACTGATATCTTTGTCATCTGAAGCTGCAATATCCCAATAGCACAGCACAGATATTACCTCCAGAGAAAATAAAGCAGGATAAGAAAGCAACTTGCCTCCTAGTGCATGTGCTAGAGGCAAGTCTGTATTTTCCAACTTAACAACTGTGAACTTAAAAAAAAAATTATCCCTCACGAGAGGTCTAGCTGTTTCTGGATCATAAATCTAGTTCCAGTAAATTAGTTTGGGCATTATTCTGAGTCATAACAAGACTATTCCCAGAGCATCTCACTTTTAAATATACCTTTCTAACATCATAATGTTTACTAGGAAGTTAGTGGCAAAGAAGTCTATACACCAACACACAAAGATGAAGTGATTGCTATGTGCCTGCTGTCCATGGTGTCTACTAATCCTTGGAAATAATCAGTGTTGGGAAAGTGATACCTTGGCTGGAATTATATTCCTTGCAGGCACAAAGATCTCACTTGGTTTGGACACTTGCGTATTGTAGATATGTGCAGAATGGCCACAACTCTGTACATATTTTCACCGAGTTGTGCCCAATCCCTGGAGGTGTTCAGGGCCAAGTTCAGGGCTCTGAGCAACCTGGCCTAGTGGAAGGTGTCCCTGTCCATGGCAGGGGTGTTGCAACTTGATGATCTTTAATGTCCCTTCCAACCCAAACCATTCTACAATTCTATAATTTTCTGGTGGCAAGAGGAGAGTACTGTTATCAGTGCCTTACCTGTTTTGTACTCCTACTATCTCTCACTATTTACATTTGTAGTCACTGCATCCTTTTTTTTTTTTTTGCCTGAATTCCTTTCTCAGAGAGCATCCCTATGAAAAGCTTGAGCTGCTTGAATGACTACAACTCACAGGTCACCTGCACGTGGATGGAGCATTCAGATGCTCATGACCTTGTTGGTATGATTCTTTACCACAGGGATGATGTTCTAATGTAAGTACCTATAATGTGCTGAGCTGGATAAAAGACCAAAGGGAAACTGGCCATAACTTGGAATCCTAGGGACCAGCAGGCAGATTTTAAGAAAACATGCCCACCTCTTTCTGTCATCGGGTTAAAACAAAAGTTGTACCTGCTTCTGAGGCCTCATTTAGGAAGGGAATAATGAATAGGCCATGCTAGTGGAGTTATTTTTGTCACCTTTACAATTATTTTCCATAATTTTGTTGTGAGATAATAGATTAAAAATCAGATGGGGCATATAGGATGATAATAATGGACGGCAGAAGATGGTGTCAGAACAAATGTAAGCATCAAGGACAGTTTTTGTAAACCCAAAAGGGAGGAGGCATTCCCCGTGTCATTTTGTCAGTTTAGAAGCATCACTGAGAGTGTGGTTTTGATCACTTCTGAGCAACGTGTATAGACTCTGTGTTTGTGAGATAGAGAAGACTGGTAAGTTCATCTGTGCTATCGGTTTTCCTCCCAGAGATACTGGTGTGTTTATGACAGTATCTCTCTGTTACATCTGTTTCCTTTTGAAAAGGGAACCGAATCATCAGACTGGATCGATTGTGAGGATAAGAAAGGACAGAAGGGAGGAATAGTTAGGGGAGAGAGGAAGGCAAAGATGGATGGCTGAGAAGAAAATGATTTAGAGTATGGGGATACAGGAAGGAAAGTAAAAAGAAAGAACTCTTAATTTTATTGCAAACAATAGAGAACTAATAGACCTAAAAGCAGCTGAAATCAGTGGAAGAACTTTGGAACAGGACCTTGAAGTTAATGCTTCTGGGAAAAGATGATATAAAGTTACTTGGACTTTTGGAGGATTCTCTGCAACATTGTTACTTGATGGAGTGCGTGGATCATGAAACATGACTGAACTCATCAGATCAGTGGGTATTAAACATGGACAGTCACACAGCTGAAATCAAAACGGCCAACAATTAAACACCATCGGCTCATAGATGAAGAACAGTTGACTAAATCCCAAACTGTAGGGTAATGGTGAGTAGACAGAAATATCTTTAGGACTTCACAACCCTTGGGCTGACTCTTTTGTTTAAGGTTATGCACTTGTATGGTCAGTCCCATCCATATTACAGCAATTTCCCAGGTTTCCTTGCTAATACTCAACTTTTAAAACTAGCAATAGTGCTGAATAATGCTTGCTGACATATAGTTGGCTAGAAGACTCCATCTTATCCTGGAAGACAGCATTTGGCCTTAAATATTCACAAGTTAATATTTCTCATCTGAACTGGAACAATATAATATACTGGGCATGAAGCCACAAGCACAAAAAAAATTCCAGAGAGTATGAAAAAAAGCAACACATCTCTCCAGCAGCTAAGGCTACTGCAAACACACAAAGATTACCCTCTCCTGCCTAGTTTAAAATACTGTTTCTAATTTTCATGATGTTCCTTGGCCTGGAGAAAGGCTATCTGAAAGAATGATTAACATTTTGGATGAACTCTTTAATGAATGCTTAAGGTCCCTTGTCAGAACAGAACTACAAAGGATACAGAAGTACATTTTGGTTGGACAATCTTTTTTTAAGTGTCTTTTTGGGGCTGCAAAATGAATGTCTTCAATAAGCTAAGGATCATCAGAACTTTACTGCCTTTCACTTTGAGTAAAAGGTGCATTTATATGACATTAATTTTCATCATACTATTTCTCACCTAAAATATGAGATTACATAGAGCTAGGCTAAAAAGTAACAATAACAGACTGGTACTAAATATAGCATTCTGCTGTACAACTTTGAAATGGGGAGACATTTGACAAAAATCGTGGTGTTAAAAATATTTGTCATATCAACTGATGCAAAACAGGGCTAATAGATACGGTAAGAAGAGGATATAAGTGCCTTAGTAAATTATAACAACAGAATGGGATGAAATTGGTTTTGGGTATTTAATTTTGTGTTAACTGTAGGTCTCCAGATCAGATCTTTATAGATGACTTTATACACAGGGAGAACAAGGAGATGTATTGCAAACGCCAGACAGAAAATGAGTTACATGAGACTCCTGATGTGTACGTGCGCTGGGTCTGTCGCAACTCTACAGACTATTTTGGAATGGGGGTAGAAGATATTTATGGCTTCAGACCTAATAAGATGCTTCAAGCAGAACTAAATGTTGATCTTTTCCAAAATGGTAAGACTTAAATACCAAATTCGCATTTTCCAATGAATTTTAAGGATCTTTGGGACTGTATTTGCCATTCAGCCAGGAACTGAATTCCACTTCCATTGTGAAAACTGCCAAAGAGTTCCACATTGAAAGGGTGGGTCAGGGAGAGGAAAGGGTAAGTTTTTGGGAGCAGTTGGACCTGGTATCATCTCAGGAGTTAGTCAAGCAGAAGATACTTGGTGTGGCAGGGATAAGATACTCTGGAAATGGGGAAACTTACCTAGATGTTTTCTTCCCCTCTTTATGTTCTTCCCTCACTGTCTACTCATGAGTTGTACCATCACCTTCCAGTTCAGCCCCTCCCACCTCAGAACCTCTCAGTCAGCTTGATGACATCAGGAGACTTCTTGCTGACCTGGAAAACAGCTGATGAAAGCCAAATGCTGGGCAATGCACTGGAGTATGAAGTCACTTACAAGCGGGAATGGGAGTCCTGGGAGGTAAGAGTGGAGGAGCCGAGCTGTCCTGGCTTGGGCTGCACCATTTTGGGCAATTGAAAGTCTGTGGTAAAAGTTGTGTGAATTAATGGCCTTTCCATTCTCAGGTACCAAGAAGATGCAACAAATGTTTTTTGAGTCAGGGAGAAGGGACTCTCTTTCTGTTTGCAAGTGACTTGCCCAGTGAAATACCATTTGTCCTGAACTGAAAACAAAGCTCTCTTCTCCATTGAAAAAAAAAAAAGGGATGCTGTGCTTGGGTTTTGAGGTGGAATTGATTTTGCCCTGAATCCCTCCCAAATTGAATTAAATCATATTCCAACAGGAGGCTGTGGGTTCATGAGGGGAAAATGACAAAATACATTTGAAGTTGCCCCCCCATGGAGAAAGATATGTTTTGGAGTTTTTTCGTGGAGTTTTTTGTTGTTTGGTCTTTTTGTTTGGTTTGGTTTAGTTTGTTTGTTTGGTTGTGTTGTTGGGGAGTTTGTTTTTTTTTTTTATTTTTTTTTGTTGTTTTGTTTTGGTTTTGTGGGTTTTTGTTTGTTTGTTTGTTTGTTTTTGGTTTTGTTTTTGTTTTGTTTTGTTTAGTTTTTAGTTTTTAGGAGTCCATATCCTTTGCTCTATTGTTTCTCTGGATCTTCATATGTTTCTCTTCTGTATCTGTCAGCTTAATCTTTAGTTTTTAAGGGAAGTATCCTGTCCAGATTCCCACATAATTCTGCACTGAGCAGAGTTATGAACATGTGTAGCTGGAGCTGAAGACAGTCAGGACTTTGCAAGCTGCAGGAGCTGGCCTACTTGTTGGGAGAGATTGTGCCTGAGAGTGCCTGTGCCTCAGTCTTCCTGTGCCATGCTGGCAGCATACGTGCCGAAGCCCCTCTAGTATGGGAGTAAGGACCACTGCATGGCAGCATGGACATGGACCACTGTATGTGTGGGACTGTTGAAAGATGCCAGCTGGCAGTCACCTCCTCTCACTCTTTCCCCCCTCCACCTCTCTTCTCCATTCCCCAACTCCCTGATTTCCTCCCTCCCTTCCATTCCCTTTTATCCCCCAACAACAGGGAGCTGCCTCGCTCTTGCTCTCCAACACCACCCACTGCAATCTCAGCCGTGAGGACCTTGTCCCAGGGAGCAGCTACATTGCCCGTGTGCGAGCCAGACCGGGGCAGGCCAGTGGCTTCTCTGGGCAGTATAGTGAGTGGAGCATGGAGGCATCGTGGAAGACCCCTGAAGGTAGTATAGGATGGAGAGGGGCTGTGCAGGGTTGGAAGCTCTGGCTGAGAAGCCAGACCTTTCCTGTCACTTGTTTCTCTGAAGGCGGCCTTCAGCCCAGGAACCTTCGCTGCCTCTTCAATGGTGGAGATCGTCTGACCTGCAGCTGGGAAGTGAAGAAAGCGATCACCACCTCTGTCGTCTTTGGCTTGTTCTTCAGGGCCACTCCATCATCAGAGTACGTGCTCTGCCCATGGCAGCATGTCTGTGCCTCTCCTGTGGGGTTTCAGCTCTGCCCCACTCCCCTGATCTCAGTTCAGCCTCTTTTTCTCCCCTCAGAGAAGAGGAATGCTCTCCTGTGCATGAGAAGACTTTGCCCCACGTCCCGTATGTGGTGCAGAGCTGTGAAATCCTTGTTAGCAATTCCAGCAGCCAGAGCCAGTACAACGTGTCTGTCCGGGCCAAGACGGAGGAGAAACTGATTGAAACCTACAAGAACAGTTAGTTACTGTGTTGTTTCTTCCTTCTTCTCTTTCTTTCTTTCTTGGAGAAATGCCTGTCTGAGCAAGTGGGGCTGAAGACAGTGGCAAGGAAGAAAAGGGAGTAGGGAGAAGAAGAATCGACTGCTGAAGAAAGGAACTGTGTCAGGTCAGAGCTCTGGGATGTAAGTGTGGAGTTCCTCAGTGGCACTTGTTGCTCTGAGGAAGGTGATGGTGACAGAAACTGCTGTGCAGAAATTCAGGTTGTAACCCAGAGCTTCTCAACGACTGATTTTCACCCTGCTGACTTCTCTGTGATTGACCCTCAAGAGTGTCTCAGGTGGCAGGGAGCTGTGGTGAGAGGTGTTTGTGGGGAGTGTGTCACTATGTGATTTCTCAAGAAGCCAGTGGAGCTATTGTGGGTTTGTGCCATGGTCCCTGGAATACTCTATGAGGTAGGAATCCTCTGCCCAGTGAGGAGCACCAGGTGGATCATTTCTGCCTACATGTATCTGGAGGTATTTGAGCTATTTTTTGCAGACTAAAGATGGGAGAGCTCCTCGCAGAGGGTGAAAATATCAGGAGGTAGCTCCAAGAGAGATGAAAATCTCTGGAAATGTAGGGGACCAATAACGATGTTTCACCTATTGCTTGGCTGCTTCCCTGTACCCAGGGAGTGCTGTCAACATTCATGGGTATGGATTTTCTGTTATTTAGTGGTCTACTGGTTTATTGTATTTGAGTAGAAAATGAAGATGCAGAGAATTAAGAGATGTTAAAAAGCTGAGACTTCTTACATTGCACAAAACAACCATGTTTTCAGTCTCTGGAAGTGATTTGCAGTAGGGAAAGAGTGAATCACCTTTTCCAGTGGCCCAGTAGGTTGCCCTGAGACATTCCGTGTATTCCAGTTCAGGTGCTGCCACCTGCAAATGTGTCAGTAAAAGCAACAGAGAACCAAGAGTATGAACTGAGATGGATAAAACACACTATGGGATACGACTTCATAACACAGAGATACCAAGTTGAATACTGGGAAAACAACCGATATGAAAAGGTAACTCTCACAAAGTGCAGGAGTCCTGGATATTTCTTTGCTGGACAAATGGAAAGAAACTTCTTCTTACCTTGTCATTTGTGCTTATTTCCTCTTTCCAGACTCTCCAGAAGTTAAATATCAGCAATGATGAACCTCCTTTCATCTTCACTCTGCAGATGCTGGCAGCATCTACAGAATATAGGGGGAAAATGCGTGCAAGGGTGAATACGCCCGTGGATTATGAGGGGCCTTGGAGTGAATGGAGTGAGGAGTTCACCTGGAAGACTGAGAACGGTACTTTTCATGCAGGCTGATTTTGTAAGATTTTAATGGACTGTTAATGGCTGAAATGCCTCTTGAGAAAAATATATGCTCTCAGCTGAGGTTGGAGTCACTTAAGGCACTTCTCTGCCTGCATCCTTGCAGTACATCAACAGTGCTAGTGAATGAGGTGAATGACCTTTTAAGCTTCTTTCATACTTGCCTTCATAAGGTGAGTACAACTAACCATAAAGTTTTCCACATGGAAAATGAAACAGAGATCCTGCCCAAAAGATCATCCTTGTTTCCTGGTTCCAGTAGTCCATTCTGCTGTCAGTGACTGAAGAACCTGAGACTGAAAGAAGACAGAATATAAGCCATCAGTTTTTTATATTTGCACAGTGACTATAGGGTTGTGTAAAACACACAGTAGGGTATGCTGGAGATAAAACCTTTACATGTTTTTGCTGTTTCTTGACTGAGAGGCAGAATATCTGCCCACATACAGTCTTGTACCCAAAGTAATATGATCTTACATGATTTGTTCTGAGGAAACTTGTAGCAGTGATACTGTTAGGCAAATTTTGATAAGTGTACTCAGGAAGAAATTGGTGTGCTGTTGTGGCTGATAGCAGAGAAAGCTCTTAGAAAATCTCTGAGACTCCATTTCTTCAGAACTGTAGAGTCAGGCAGACCTAAGATGCCTGGAGACATGCCTGTTGTTCAGGATGGAGTGAGGTTTCTAACCATCTTCTTAATAGTATGAATTGTTTACTTTGATGTCAGTAAGAACTAAAAAATGTATCAGTAAAGGTAACAATGAACTCCTTTGGTCAGTAAGCTCTGCAGGCCATGTTTGGTCTGTCCTGCTCTGGAGGGTATTCCAACAGTTTGAAAGCCTTATGATCCTGTCTCTCGACGTATCCCCTGCGTTTTCCTGATCTTCCTGTGTGAAGAGTGACCAGAGTGAAAAACCTGTTATGGGAAATGGCCACTCGACAGGTGGATACCTATTTCTCTTTTCTCTGTTTCAGTTCTGCCACCAGTGGTTCTCCCAGTGATGCTCCCAGTTCTCATCATCACTTTGCTAATAGTTGCTTGTTGCAGCTATAAATATTTCCTCAGGTAGGCTTGCGTTGCAACTAGGACATTCAGCAGCCTGTTGGCCATGTGGGCGGCATAAAGGCTAAGGCACTTCTTGTTCCCCCTGAGATAGAGGTCTATGTGGAGATGAACCTTGGTGGGCAGCCTTGTCCGTGTCTGGGCAAGGGTGAGAGTTTGGTTGGTGCTGTGCCATTGCCTTGGTGGTGCCTCGCTGTGCAGAGCAGCACAGTGTATGGGGTGCAGTCTTTTCTGGTTGCAGTCACACTGAGAAGCACATCTTGAACACTCTGTGTTGTTGCTGCAGGAAGAAGAAAATGTGGGAGGAAAATATTCCAAACCCCAGAAAGAGTCTCCTGATCCAGAGCTACGTGGGGGTAAGAGGGAACTGTACCTTGAAGGATTCATTATTTCTCTCTCTTTTTCAGGACTTCCAGAAATCTTAAGAGCTCTTCTTGTTTCCTAGTCCACAATGAATAGTTATCTTCATTAGCTGATGAATTATTTTTAGGAAAAGTGCTAGTCCTACTCAACATTACAGTGTTCTTATATTTATACCAGCAGACTTCTTTGTACTGTGCTTGTCAGCACCACTGTGATGTAAAATCAAGCTAGAAAATTTTCAGTACTTTAAAATTTTAACTGCCTGAAATAATCTAGTGTCATTAGCAAACTTAATCAGCTAATACTGATCACTGAATATCCAGGAGAAGAGATCAGCACCTCCCTCTCCACTTTCCCTCCTCATAAAGCTATAGAGAGAGATGAGGTTGCCTGAAATCCTCCTTTTCTCCAAAATAGCCCTTTTACCAGCTTTGTTGTCCTCCTCTGGATGCATTTGAATACCTTAAAATCCTTCTTAAATTGTGGGATCAGAACTTCACACGGTACTCAAGGTGAGGCCACACTATTGCTAAATACAGTAGGATAATTGCCTCTTTGACTGGCTGATGATGCCATCTTTGAAGACCCCCAGGATGGAGTTTTCCCTCCTGGCTGTCAGGGTGCACACTGATTTGAGCCAGCACCCCCAGCCCCTTTCTGCAGGGCTGCTCTCCAGCTACTCCTCTCCTAATTTGTACTTTTACCCAGCGTTACGCTGTCCCAGGTGGAGAATCTGGCATTTGGACTAGTTAAATTTCATTCCATTGATGATTGTCCAATGCTCCAATCTATCTAGATCCCTCTACAAGGCCTCTTGCCCTTGAGAGAGTCAACAGCATCTCCCAGTTCGGGATTGTCAGCAGACTTGTTAATGGTGCCTTCAAATCCTGCACCCAGATCATTGATAAATATATTGAACTGGCCCTAGAACTGCGTTCTGAGGTACACTGCTGGTGACTGATCACCAGCCAGATGTAACCCCATTCACTAAAACTTTTGAGGCCCTGCCCTTCAGCCGGTTCTTCACACAGCACACTGTACCTTTGTCCATGAGGAATGTACAGTTCCTGTTTCTGATTCTACGGCCAGTGAGACACTGCTCCTTGGTCATGTCTGCTTTTTCATTTTCAGAAAGCACAGTTGGGAAACTGGCCAACAAGCAACCAACTGGACTTCAACAAATACAGCCTTTCAGAGAAGATGGAGCAGGCTAGTTTCCTTCAAGTTCTGGACAGGTGAGTGAACAGCACAGTGACACTGTGGATGATAGTCTCTAAGACCTCTTTGCATCATGGCAGGATACAATCAAATGTTCTATCACTAAAAAGCCTGTACAAGTTGCTTTTGAGAAGGAGATACAATTGTTTACTGCTTGGGTTAGACTGCACCTCCAAGAATACTGTTTTCTAAGCCTCTGTTTAGCTATGTGTGTTTTCAAATAAGCTTGTTTTATGTTTAATGTTTACCACAATAATCTCTCTCATGAGCAACTTTTAACTTTCCCCCTTTCAGGCAGGCGAAGACTTTGGCAGAGTGCCCTGAAGGGCAGACAGAAAAGACAGGTGTTTCCCTTGTTGCACCAGACCTACAGAACTCATACCATGCTTTAAATGAGGCAGAGCATGCCCCAGTTGTCTGCTCTAGTCAGATTGCTGGTCATTCCTTTCCTGTTTCAAGGAAAAACAGTGCTGATGCAAGTATTGCTTCCCACACAGCAATCCCTTGCTTTGCTTTCAATGGTCCATACTTGTACAGTCCAGTGATATCCTCCCACCCTGATATACATCAGTCCTTGGAACTGGACCAGGTGGGACTCTGTAAGAAATCGGTTTCCCTTCAGTATGTGACTCTCCCAAGGGAAGACTGTCCTCAGGCTCCACAGAGGCAAGAAGAGCCAGAAGCAGGTCCTCCAAAGCCCTACCTACTCACAGATCAGAAGGAAATGATGCAGCACCTCAGCGATAAGGAAGAAGTCTCACCAGCCCCACCAGCCTGTGGGAAAGGCACCAAGATGGAAACAGAAGAAGAGAGCTCTCCAAAAGCCCTCAGCTGTACCACATCTCCTCAGCAGTGTCCCTTGGAGTACATCACCACAGAGACCCCATTACTGCCATCAGCCAGTGCCTCCACCCATCCTCCACTTGTCACTGCTGGGGAGTCACCTGGTGGCTCACAGGAGCCCCAGCCCCCCAGTGACCACTCTTGCCATGAGTTTTCTCCTGGGAAAACTGGTGTCATGGTCCAAGTTTCAGGTCAAGCACCAACCTCTTCTCCTGAATTGCACCTTGAGAGGTTTGGAGACTATCTTACTCTGCCTTTAGGCCTCAACAGACATTCAGAAGCCACAAAGATTCCTTTGCCTGTCTTACAGAAGGAAAATGGTCTTCCTAGAAAGCAGCCTTTGTCAGAGGGTAACTTAGTGGTGTTGAACCCTGACAGCACTGAGCCAGTTTTCCTTTGCCAGGTTGGTGACTATTGCTACCACAGCCTAAAACCCAGTGTGAAGATGGATAATGGTCAGGAAGACCACCAAGTCAAGAAACTTTCTGAGGGCAAGACAACACTTGGGAAGCCTGTATCTGATGATGACTCCATCACTGGCAAGGAAAAGGATGTATCAAAAATGCAGGCTATTCAGCTTTTCAAAATCCTGAAATCAGATGATTACTTTTCCTGGCAGCAATCTTTGAGGATCAAAGAAATCTCCTAAATGGGCAAATACTAATGAATACCGAAGAGACTGATAACTGAAAGAGGCTGCAACTGTCTGATGAAAATGAACCTTCAAACCAAGGAATAAATAAACACCAGTTTCATTTTCAAGCTTCCAGTCCAATGTGGAAAAACTTGAAGTAGCTCAGTATCATTCTCAGTGCTCTTCACATGTTTGGCATAAAATACATATATTTGCCTTTGGTGTTTTTCAAACTTTTTGACTTATCCACAATGATCAATTTATCCTCCTTATGATCCTGTGACAGATCACAATCATCTTGCAATTATACCAGATTGCCTGGCAAAATTGATGGCAGGAAATGCAGACTTAACAGAAGAAGACAAGCTTGGAAACCTTGGAAAGAAAACTTAGATTCTTAAGAGCAATTTTGTTGAACTTCTGTGTGTTTATAAAATTGATCTAAAAGCCACCAAGGAACTTTCATATCTCTGCCTTTCCACTATAGCATGAAATAGGTATTGTCTAAGGCAAAAAACTCCAAAAACCGAAAACCAAAAACAGGATAGTTATAGAAGGGTAACTGTAAAATGTGAAAAAAAAATGTTGAAGTCCAGGAAAGCTTTCTTAATGTTAATGTGCAGTATATCACAGCAAATACTAAGGATAAGAAGGTAACGTTAGTGGAATACATAAAGTAGGCTGTAGAGAACCATTTGGAAGAAGAAACATGGCTGAAAGAAAAACCAAGGACTCCTAAGGTTCAGTGAGAGAGAGGGAGTGGGGCAGGTAACAGAAAATGGCACACAAGAAATGTTGGGAAGCTGCACAAGCTTAAATCTGCTGCAACTTTTCTATTTATAAGTGTTAAAATACTATATGATTTTAAGTTCATTGACTGTTTATACATAATATTCTTAATCTTAACTGTGTAATCGATTCTTTGGGTTTTTTTTCCTGAGTAATAAGATGGGTTGAGAAAGAGAAGACATTTTTTCCCAGTTTTGTTGTAAAGAAAGTGGTGTAAGGAAAGAGCATTTGTTCAGAGCTGTGACTTTGTGACCAGTGAAAAGGTTTTGATTTCAGACTTGAAGGTAGACTTGCATTCAAAAAAAAAATTTCTTTTTTTCAAATATAAAATCTGTACTAATAAAAATATTATTTCTTCATATAAATGTTTCCTTTCATATGTTAAAATATTGTGGTTACAATAAAATTACTATTAGCTTGTTTGATTAGGCCTCAAAAAATTCTGTATGTTAGTTATGCCACTTGTGAGGTAGGACACTTTCTCCTAACTTTGCTATATTATTTGACAGAGGTAATGAGTTCTGTGTTTCTGCCAGCTGATTCCTCCTGCTGGGTTAATGGGACAGTGCTGATTCAGAAATTGCAGTGAAATGAATTGTTTTTTGAGGATTTCATTCTCAGAAATACCATTTTAAATCTGAAAGGTGTGCAAATTGAGTTTGGTGTTCTTGACAGCAAAAGATATGCAGTTATAGCCTCTGATAGAGAATATTGATGACCACTTAGAGAGATTTTCAATGTAGACCTTTTGTAATCAATGGATTTTTTTGGCCTTTCAAGAGTGGCACAATTAATTTCTTCCAGGCTGTATGATTGTGCTCTATCTAAGCATGTCCTAAAAGGAGATGTTTAAATTCATATGCAAATTTTGTATCTGGATTCACATCTTAGATATGCATCACTTTCCTGGGCCTTGAATTGCTGGGGTTTAATAATCAAGAAGAATAGTGAGTGGGAGAACTTTTATTCAACTCAGTGGCTTTTGAATGGAGCCCATTTGCATTGTTATCAGCACTCTAAGAGCTCTCTGTTCCTTCTGTCCCTCTGCACTTCACTGGGCATTTGCAGGGGCTGATTTTGGAGACAGGATTTACAGACACAAGCACATAATATCCACAGAGTGGATATTATCGTCTGAAGATCACTTCAGGAGCCTGGAACTTGCAGAGTAACATGCCATTGTCCAACTAGGGGAACTGAGCAGTGGTTTTCTTTGCAACTATAACAATCGGTTTAGGGCAGAATGAATTTCCGCTCTAGGGACTCCTTGTTCAATATCTGTTTAAGTATTATTAAACAAAATCTGTAATGAATGTTGGAAGCAGGGCTCATAATCTACAGCTCTGCTCTGCCAGAGGAATCCACTTTTTACTGGGTTACCGAATCAAAACTTCCATAAACTTCTTCTGGTGCTGATCCTATGAATCTTCCATGCTCTTCTGCATGAGATCCAGGTGCAGTGCTGGTGGTAAAAAGCATTTTACAATACTGTGATCTGGTGTGGTGATTCAAGACTTAGAAGCTGTCATGACTCCCAGGTCTTCAACTTCCTGATCATTAGCTTAAGCCCCAAAGTTACTGTGCAAAAGCAGGTTGCTGCTACCTTTCCCAGTGCTAGGCACTTATATGCAGGAGAGGAATCATCATTCTGATGATTCAGGAGCCAATTATGACATGCCCCTCTCTGTATGGCTTCTCACTAAGTAGTTCCAGCCCCACAGCCTGTATATCTGCGTGATGAGCCACCGATGTTTCTGATATAGTAAAAAAAAGAGAGGTAAGCATCTCAATACTGGAAATCACATTTTACAGCTCCCTATTTACACTGCAGTGCATATACAGTTATGAGATTATTGCAACCCTTTCCTTACTGCCCACTCAAGCATAAAAGATTCTGCCTATGTTTCAACAGCAGACATTTTTCTTTTCATTGCTCTGAAGTAATCACTTTATTATTCCCTATCATAATCTTCATCAACCAGAAACGCATTACCTGAATTTGCACGAGATTAGGGGAGGAAGTATATTGTGTTCTCAGTGGTTCTAAATAAGGTCAATGCTGAACTGCTCTGTTGTTTTGTTTCTGCTATCTCAAGGTTTTGTCTTTTATGTAAGGAAGGAAAATGGGGCTGAATGATTTGCTAGAAAAAGAAACCTGCAGTGGAAAGCCCTCCAAGACCTCAAGGAATGATAGCTGGAGAATTTCTGAGAATCACAGAATCATAGAATCCTGTACCTCTACAGGGTAACGGAAAACAAACCTAACTGATCCTGCAGTCCTTTTGGTTTCTTGTTCACAAGCACGTTTTACACACAACCTCACTCCCATAGAACTCCACTGAATGATCTCTTTCTCTTCTCCTCACTCTTTACTTGCTCCCTTCTGCTCTCACTCTGGAGATGAAATTTCTATTAAAAAAAAACACGTGTCACATTCTCTGCATGGGGAATAAGTAGCACTTGTGCCTCTTTTGGCCCTTTATACAAGCCTTTTCAAGGGCCTACCAGGATTCCATATGCTACAATCTGGATCCTAACAACTCCTCATATTACACAATAGATGTTTCACCATGACGTTCAGTGGGTGAGCCTGAGCTCCTCTGCAAACTCACTCAACATGAGCCAGCTTTAGTTCAAAACCTCTGCAGATTTGTTTTTTACTTTCCAGCTTGTTGATAGAGAAGCATATGGTCCTCCTTCTTGAAGGATAATTTTTTGTCTAGAGAAGGAGTTCCAAAGCTATCTGAAACAACTGGTAGCTTTTCCTATTCTCTTTTTCAGAATTTTCCAGCTCCTGGTTCACAGCATGCACATACACTGCAAAGTTTTGAGATGAGTACTTTTTCATCTTCTAAGCTGTTTGTCCTGCAGCATTCAGAGGTATATAAGATGCTGACACACATTTTCAAGTTTATTTCATTCACTGCAGGTTCATGACAGATTCATGGTGTTGTTTCAGCATCTAAAGACACCCTTTTCCTCCCTTCTACTTGCAGCAGAGACTGTAGTATAGGAAGATAAGACTAACACATTAGATCTAAACAATCATTCCACCTAGCCCAGTATTCTATCTCTGCCAATATTTGCAGTGGATGCTTAAAGCCCGGGTGTAGTCAACATGAAACAGTATCCAGCAAATAAGTAAATCCTCAACTGATATATTTACCTGGTATCTGGCCCAGAGCATTCCTGAATTGGAGGTTACATCTAAGGTGTTGTAGACAATATGTGCTTCATGTCTCTTGCCTGTAGAGGTTCAACTAACTCCTTTCTAAAACCACTTAATTGTTGGCTTCATAATGTCTGATAGGAAAGTATTACTAAATTTGTTTATAAATAAAACCATACAAACAAAAAAATAATGCCCACATATTCCTGAACTCATTTTGTGCCAATTGCATGGTAAGTTGCTCCTTAGCTTTTGTTCTAGAAGAATTCATAAACCATCATTCCTGATTCAACATCTCTTGTTTGAGATGCTACAATAATGTTGTCAAATAATTTCTGTCAAATAATTTCTCAGTTTTTTATTTTTCCAAGCTGAAGAATTCCACAGTAATTAGTCTCTCTTCCTATAGATCGTGTAACTCTGCTAACAACTTTGTACTTTTTCTGTTTCTGCAGAGTATTCTACAGTATTCATTCAGATATGAGATAACCAGAACTGAATTCAAGAAAACATGTTATTTAGACAGTCTGTGATAACTGGACTCTCCCATTATTATTTGTCTGCTCCAACAGGTTCTTAGGTCTTGCTGTATAGTTAGAATCATTTTTTTTCAGTCACGTGAGTGTCTATGTTTCTATGTTTCAATGTGCACTTACAGGCCAGAAAGCCAAGAGTATCCTGGGCTGCATCAGAAGCAGTGTGGCCAGAAGGTTGAGGGAGATGATTCTGCACCTCTGCTCTGCTCTCATAAGACCCCACCTGGAGTGCTGCATCCAGCTCTGGGGTCTCCAGTGCAAGGAAGATGTGGACCTGTTAGAGTGGGACCAGAGGAGGCCGTGAAGATGATTGGAGGACTGGAGAACCTCTCTTCTCATGCCAGGCTGACTTGGGGTTATTCAGCCTGGAGAAGGCTGCAGGGTCACATTATTGTGGTCTTTCAATATGTAAAAGCAGTTTATAAGAAAGACAGAGAGAGACATTTTACCAAAGTCTGTAGTGATAGGAAAATGGGCAGCAGTTTTAGACTGAAAGAGGATAGATTTAGAAGAAGAAATTTGTTTAAATGAGGCTGGCAAGACACAGAAACTGGTAGCCCAGACAGGTTGTGGATGGCTCTTCATTAGAAGCTTCAAGGCCAAGTTGGATGGGGCTCTGAGTAACCTGGTCTAATGGAAGATGTCCCGGCCCATGGCAGATAGTTTGGATCCTTCCAACCCAAAGCATTCTATGAACCCCTGGTTCTATGATTCTAATGTCAAATCCCATTTATACCTAATAACTTAGTGTTTTCTCCCTCATCATTAGGTTGGAGTAACCCAGATAAAATTTTGCCTTTTCAGTCACTCAGATCTCTCAGGTAAGAGATTTCTCATCACTCAGTCTTACAGATAATTTATAATTATGTTGAAGATCAAAATTCTCCCGGAAGAAATCACTTAAATCTTTCCTGCAATATGAAAACTAACCATTAATTTTTCCCACTTGTTTTCTCTCTTTAAATGACTTTAATTTCCATGATAACCTTCCTTTTATCTCTTTGTTTCTTAGAAATGCATTTTTTAGAGACTTCAAGCTTTTTAGGCATCTAGGTATGATGCACTAACTGGATAACCCTGTACCCATTTGCTTCTTCCAAGAAGTTCTTCCAAGAACTCTACCAGCTTTATGAGCATGACTATTCTCTTTTATAGGGAGACGTTAATTCTTCCCTGGAAGATTTTTTTTCTACTATTTTTATTGTTCATTATAGTTTGTATCACCTATCCTGTACAAAAGTCAGCCTGATTGGTCAGCAGTTGCCTGGATTCTTTTCTGAGTACTCCTCCAAAGCTTTCATTTGGTATTTTTCTCTGATGTTGAGGCCTGTTAAAGCCTTTGATTATTTACTTCAATTATTTGTTTGGCAATTAACTGTTCAATTTCCTTTACAGATTCATATGATAAGAAAGCACTTGAGTAAGAATATAGGTTATGCAAGGCTTGTAAAGAAAGTAATTATGTTTTATTAAACAGATGGATGTAGTTGGAAAAGATCATTATAAGTTATCCTTTTTCTCTATGCATCTTGCCTCATTTACTTTTTCAGAACATTAAGGCTATGATAACCATAATTTCATAGCATGGGTAGACTTATGAAAGGCCTAAGTGCACTTCTAAATTTTTATATGATTCTTTATACAGCTTCTTTGTCACTGAAAACATTTGATTCTTTAACAGCTTCTTGGGCTTATTTTATTTTTGCCAGTCTTTTCCTAAAAATATTATTGTAGAAAACTTGTGCCTTTTGCTGTTTCAGCTTGTACTAGGTCTTGTATATTTATCAAGACTAAATCAGTTTCTTTGCCTTCTCATGAGTGCTTTCACAAATAACTCCAAGAAGCAATCATTCACAGTGGCTAAAAGGTAGACTCTGTGACTAGATCTGTACTGGCAAATAAAGGAGATCAAGGTCCCTTTCTGGCTCTCAGAGGAGTCATGGAAGATTTGTGTATCCAGTCTCTTTCCCTACTATGTATTGGAAACTATCCCTTACTTGCTCTTTGGTATAGACAAAAGCCGTGTCAAAGTGTTTGCTAACAGTTGAGTGGAGTCTGTGGTCCCATTCCAGAGCTCTAACCTTTGCCTTGTCCTGGAAAATTTGTCCATTAGTGTTCTACTGAATATATTATTTTCATCAACATTCCTTAATGCCTATTAATTTCTTTTAAGATATTTGCCAATGATTCTGTCATTTAAAATGTATTTTAAAAAGCAAGTATTTGTATAGACATATTTGGGCATTTGTCTTGATTTGGTTGTATAGTTTTATACGCTCTGCTTACCCAGGTTGTTTTTGTTTCTGTTTTTCTTATCTTCTGTTCAATCCCTTTTTCTGAGTCATAGGCTTTCTGTGATTTCAGAACACACAAATAGATCAATCTGAACAATTTACTTTCCACATCTGGCGTAATTTCCTTGGTTTTCATTTTAGAATTGCCTCATAGTGTCTTTAATCTTAAATGTCAGCAGCACTGATTCTGTTTTGATTGGGTGGAACCCATCATATATACACTTAATCTGCTTCAAAATTTTACCAGATACGAATAAATATAATCCCTCTTTCCCTACATGGTTTAATCAATCATGCACTGAGACTCTGTTATCTGACAGAGCGTGTAAAAGCAGGACCATTGAAGAATGCTACTATGTAGGACTGCTTTTTCAGCCTCCCAGTTGAAACTTTGCTTTCAGGACTTCTTGCCTGCTGTTGCTTTGTTGGTAGTGTGGGTATGAGCCACCACCATTGGGTCTTTCTTGGCACATACTGAGGGAATGCCTAGATTCCTTGTGCTATATCGTCTTTTCAACTGCACGTGTCTGTTCAAGTAAAATGTTTGTCCATGTTTGTATTGGTCATGAGAAATGAAGGAGATATTTTCCATTTTTCTGCTCCTGAAGGGAGCCCGTCCTACCGAAGACGCCTGTCAGCCCTTGCTGCACATGGTACTTGTTGAGTAACTCATGGTGCAGTGTTGGTAGTGTTCATGTAACTCAGGATCTCCTTTTGGGAGGTGACCTGCTCCTGGGGGTGAAGGCTAGATCCAGCAGATGATACCTGGCTACTGTGATATCAATCCGTGATATCACATGCCTGACAAAACTTCCACTGAGTGCAAGAGAGACTATGGATGGCCTATATGGATATGTCAAGACCCATACAGTGTCTAAAGGATGATTTGTCTTCATCTTCATGTCCTGTCTTGGAGCTGAAAGGCTTGACTTGTCCATCTATTCAGTCCAGTTGTGTCTCTTTGGGATAAAAGTTTTTGACAGATTACAAATGGCCTTTTTGTGTGTCTTGTCAATTCACAATTCTGTGTTTTCTGAAAGGATTAATCAAAGTATTTCTGGTTAGAGCCCATCCCAGTAGCCCTGCTTTTTATATATTCCCATGAAAGTTGCTTTCACTATGTAACAGCAAACAGAGCAGGAGAAGCCGGAGATTTAGACTGATCCCTCCTACTTGGTCATTGTATCAGAAGAGTTTTCTTGAACCTCTGCCCTAAGATGCTGCTAAAGGTTCTTACTTGATATCACTTTAGATAGAAATT